CCGATGCTGGAAATCATCATGAATACTATGACAGAGGACGCAGGACTAGGTCCGACCAATTTGCCAAAACCTTGTCAAATACTACTAAATCCATTTGTGTTTCTTAACTTGGGAATACTGAAGCCTTTCGTTGTAATGGTCAATATCTCCCATCATGAACTCTGAACCTTTATAGCTCTGAATATATCTCTTTTTCCATAACCTTCGAGTTCTTTATGAGGAAACACTTCTTGGTGCCTTTTCATCGGGTAAACTTATTTTTACTCTACGCTTTGCCATTTTGTCAGTATTTACGATGCACCTTAAATCGAAAACAATACCGAAATTTTGCAGCTTAAATGGAAATAACAGGTGTTTTTCGCACCTGTCCCTATAAATGTAAATTTAAAAAGCTTTATCCTCTTAAAATCATGCCTATCCTGCAATTAATTAGTGCTATGACCGTGTGTAGTTTGGTCTCTGGGTCCCCACATTCTGGGTTCAATTCACTTTTGAGGTCTGACCTTGCCTGCGAGGATTCTAAATGGCATTTGCCCTTGGCTCCGAACAAGATTCCGCTAACTTGATCGCAAAGCCAACTAAAATACGAATGCCCTACCTTCATTTCCTTTCTACTCATTCAGTGAATCATTTATTAGCTATCCTTGTTTTCCCTCAATCATTTACGAATTCGCCGTATTACTTAACTGCTGTTGCTGCTTCGTTTACTCTTTTTTATTATTCATTACATCTTTTGATCATCCCATACTTCGTTAGCTATAAATTTTCTTACTTAATTATCCCATGACTCATTAAATCAACCATTTGTTTACCCAGCCAACTCCTCATCAATTCATTTTCTTGGTTAGTATTTTGGCATGTGATACCCGGAAGTTCTTACTACGAATTATATGGCATATCACTGTCTTACTTTTGATAGTTCGGTTTCTTATCATCCCAAATGGTTTTCTTGAATCGATCCCAATTTGACGTATTGTTAAATGTATTTACATTGCATATCTCGTTCATCTTGTTTGGATAGTTTCTTTCCGTCTTGTTCTATATTTTTAAGCCTTCTGTTATACGTTAAATAATATAGAAACTTGGCATTATTATTCAGAAAAATTTTCCCCAATAAATGTTTTTTTTTCAGGGTCTTTTATTGAGCCTAATGGCCAATCTCACCTCTGCTCTCTTCGGAGGTTATGCTTTTTCCTCTTTTTAATCGTAGGCATGTTTTCGATTTCATTGGTCTTTTTCCCTTCCATTATTCTTTTTTTCTGCCTTTATATCTAGGTGTATTATTGCAAAAAGCGCCGCCTTCGCGAACAGGCTGGTGCCGGAGAGGAAGTGCGCAAGCGTGAGCGCAAGGTAGCTAGTGGTGCTGCATCTGTAGTTGTTGGGCCTGATTCAACCACTTGTCTTGATTGCTCTAATTGTGGATGCTACAACTACGGCAGTCTCGGTAAAAGCAATAGTTGTACGTGTTTAGCCTGCTGTACCGCGAATACTGCTGCCGTCGCTCCTGCTTCCGGTTCGTTTTGCTGCGAGGTCGGTTCTAACACTGTTCGCCAACCGCCGCAAGCTGGCCGGCAAATAAGACCAGCAAAGCCAGCTATTGGAG